ARGRAAAAAAAAAGAAAAGTTGAAAAAAAAAAATAGAGCTGCAGACAGCCAGCTTACAGCTATATAAAAAGCATCCCGGGGGATTTTCCTTGAACAGACTCTACAGAGAAAGGCAGTGGAGTAAAAATTCTGCTCCCGAGGCTGTGGGCAAGGACAGGCAATGCCCAAGTAGCTCCTGGATGGGCTGCATTGTCCCCTGGGGAGGTGGCACACTGCTGCACAGCCAGTGCTAGCCACCTGAGAGGAGTATTTTGCCACAAGGCTAAGGATGGGTGGCAAGAAGTAAGCGAAAAACCACCAAGAAATGGGTGACTGGCCTGTGGAGAGGTGATGGAAAGCCACCTTTGGTGATGGAATATCACCTCCCAGGCTCTCCAACACACGTGCTGGCTAATGCCATTCACAAGGTGATGGTGACACCTCTCGCAGCCTCAAATACAGCTCATCAACCAGAAGAAGCTGTTGCTCCAAAATGGCTCAAAATTAAAACATCAGTAAAAATTCTGACATAAAAAAAAGGAAAGGAGGGAGCTTTTCTGGAAAGGGCTGTTGGCTAATCTGAAAGCTCCGAGTGCAGAAGGAAGAAAGAATACTTTCAGTGGAACTTCTGCCCTGTTTCGGTGTGAAAGGCAGCAAAAAGAGTGAAACAAAAAAACATGGAGAGAGACAGAGCAATCTAATTCACAGTTGTGCCAGTGGGAAATAAACAGGGAGGCCAAAACCCCTGGGGAACAATGCAGGTAAGAGAGACCACTGGGGAAACTCCAAGTATACTGAGAAAAGCACAGGGATTCGAGGCCTCTTGTTGGGCAGAGATGGCTGAAGTGCTCCATAAATACTTGTTTCCCATCTGGCAGAACAGAGCTAATATGGCTGTCCAGCAGAAGGGCAAGAAGGTATTTGCTCATCCATCATCATCTTCAGACAGTAACAGCTTTGATTTCATGGGTTTGCACTGCCCCAGGAGCCAGGAAAGAGCTGGATGAGGAGCTGCAGCAATGCTTCATGCAATTTTGGCATTCAGGGAATCTGGAAAACTTGGGGAGGATGTGAAGAACCCGCAAAAAACCCCAAGCAGAAGCCAAGCCATGCTGTGGGGATGAGGTGTCCCTGCTGGCAAACCAGAGCAGGGAAAACCCCCTTCTCTACAATGAGGCTGAGCAATGGCTTCAATGAATCTGTGGGCTGGGGTGGCAGGGATGGGTACCCACATTTCCATCTACAGCAGGATCACACGAACTCTCTTTTCCCATGAAACTAAACTACAAAAAAAGGGGGAACAAGAAGGCAGAACTGAAAGTGGTAACCAGACACATTCAAGTGAGCAGTGAGGCAGATCATTTGATCCATCTGAAGGATTACTAGCACTGCCAAGGAAGAGCAGCGGGCCTCCAGATCTCCAAGCCTTCCCAAGAGATGCTTTTGCCAGACACCAAAACAGAAGCCTGTGCCACACCACAGAAAAGTGTGGACTTCATGTTCCACCCATTTCTGACCACTTGTGGTCGAGAGTTACTCAGTCGGCATGGGCACAAGTTTACTCGGGGCACCCACCCACAGCACCAGGTCACCCCTGCTGTGGGTCCACGACCCCCCAGCCCCTGCTCACTCACTTCAGGGAGAGGGAGAAGTCGTTCTTGCTGGTCTCGCTGTTGCGCACCAGGTAACTGGCCTCCTTGCACAGCCTCAGCAGCGTCTCCGCGTCCGTCCGGCTGATGGCCCCGTGGTACCAGCTGGAGCGGGGAGAGGGATCAGCTGTGCCAGGCACAGAGCAGACACCCTAGGAAGGGCTCTGCCCTGGGAAAGCAGCAATGCCAGCACCCCGGGGACTGAGCGATGGGGGGGCACCACTGGGGTTGGGGGACAAGGGGCAGGGACAAACAGGCAGAAATGTGGGGCCAGGGAAGAAAGGAAGAAGCAGGTCTCCCCAAGGGCTCCTCATGGATCCACAGGGATCCATGAGGCAGGTGGAGGGGTCAGGCAGGACTCACCACTGGCTCTCCAGGGGTAGGGCAGGGTCAATCCTCTCCCCGACAAAGGGGCCGGGCTCAGCCATCAGCGTCTTCGTGCTCTTGAGGCTGCTGGGGCCGTGTCTGAGGGCAGCCCTGGCCTTCTCCTCCCTGCAGGGCGAGGTGCGGCCGTAGCCCAGCCCCTCCGAGGGACCTGCAAGACAGACCCGTGTCACGGCTGGGGCAGGAACAGGCAGACAGGCTGGGTCCCAGCTTTCCCCCTGTGGGAAGAGCCAGAGACACTTTACATCACACTGGATTCCCTCATGCTGCCCCATCCACTTGTTCTAAGCAAGGGAAGGGCAGGTCTTGGGCTGCTACTCACTGCAGTGCCCAGGCTGGGTGCCCACCACACCAAGCCTGGGGCCAGGGTCTGAGCCCATGGAAAAATATTTCCAGGGAGGTTTCAAAAGCTCAGGAGGTTTTGCTAATGCAACCACAGATTCAGCAGCTGCGGCACAGAATTAAGTGAGATGCAGCAAGGAGAGGCTCCCCAATCTTGGGGGGAAAAATTAAATTAAAAAAAAAGGGGAGGGGATAGATGGAGCAAAAGGGAGCGGTTGGTTTGGAACCGATGGACACGTTTCTGCTGGCACAAGTAAAGCTGGGGTGAGAAAACAATTCCTTGAGGTGGGAAGGGGATATTTTGACTGCAGGTACCTCCCTGATGCAGCCATCTGCCTGGCACCAGCCCAGCCACGGCCCCTGCGCACCAGTGCCAGCAAGCACAAGGGACTGACCGAGCCGTGCCCTGGGGACCAGCCTCCCGCTGCCTGTTATTTCCACACAGGATGATTTCAGCATTAACAATATTGTTTCTCCCTCCTCACGAGAGTTCATTATTGCTCCCCGGCACCACCAGCCCCCTCGCACAAATTACTTATCGATCAGGCAGAGCTGCCTCGGTGTGGGGCTGCGGGGGGGTGATGCTGTAGCAGCACAGTCACACTGCAGGTGGCCGAGACCAGGAGCTGCAGCTCCCAGGACAACTGGGATGTCCCAGACTGGACAACTTCCCTCCTCGCCATGCTTCCCGGCTGCTGGAGGGAGAGGCAAAAAATACCCCAAGAGGGACATTTTCCTCTCTAGCAGGGCATCTAGCAGGGCATCTTCTAAGGTGGCTGTTTGGGCCCCAGGCAGGCGAGCAGGACTCCACCCCCCAGCTCTGCGAGGAGGGGAAGGCAGCCAAAAGCAAACCCAGTCAAAATCCTCTGCAGCTTAGCACGGCTTAAACCCCCCTGAGCAGCAGCTCAGGGAGGAGGTGGTGCCCAGCATTAAGCCTTGACAAGCACTGCCTCTGCAGTGCTCTGGCTTTTCACAGGCCACATTCACCCTCGTACATCACACCCTGGCTTCAGTTTCAACTCATCACCTTAAAAAATTGGGGCAATCGTTAAAAAGTCAGACAATCAAACAGCCCAAGTGTTTGCTGGCGGCACAAAGTCACTGCGTTACAGGCTCAGAAGAAATGCATTGCACCTGTCAGAGGGAGGCAGAAGCATGTGCATGATTAAACAGGATATTAAAAACAAGCCCTTAGGAGGAAGAAGACATCCTTCAAGACGTTCAAGTCACCCCCAGACAGGGGAAGTAGAAAATGAGACAAAACTCTGGCAAGATAAACTTAACACAACAAAGCAAGGCAAGTCAGGGGGAAAAAAAAGAGACTCTGTGTTGCTAAACTCAGGAAAAACGACAAACTGATGTGTTCATCAGGAGCAAGATGCACATCAGAGCGACTGTGGGGATAATAAATGACAGGGGAAGAGAAGAGGCTGCATAGCAAAGAGATTAATTTTTCTTGACACCTGCATTCATTGCAGGAAGAGAATCAGGAAGTTCCCACCTGCCAAGACCTTTCTTGTTCAGGACTGATCTCAGCCTGCAGCATCCCTACGGATTAGGGAAATACCCAACACAGCCCTGGCAGAGCAGTCACTTCGCTCTGGAGTGTCCCTTCTATCAGCAGCAAAATCAGCTGTCACCTGCAGCCTCACGCTCAAACCCACCTGGGAGGCAGCAAAAGCCACACTGGTTTTATTCTACAAAGCTCTGCAGAGATCTGGGTAACTGCAGATAAGGAAATCAGCCATCCGCACCTGGCACGTCGCAGTGCCCACCAGGACAGCGTTAGTGACGCACGGGCAGGCACGGCACGCTGCTGCTGCAGAGGAACGGCATGCCTCGTGCCCCAGCTCCCCCCAGTAACAACCTTTACCTTTCAGCACGCTGCCCCCACCTAATGCTCTTGGCAAAATCCTAATCTACCACAGCATAAGAGCGAGGTCCTTAAAATATTAATAAAGGGTTAAAAGACAAGCAGCAATATTTGGCTTTCATAAGCGAAGACTGCCGGCAGTGTCCAAGGGGGATTTGCCTAGGGGCTCTGTGCTCGGCACACACAAAAAAGCCTTCACAACAAGGCAAACCTGAGATGACAAAGTGTACCTGGGAGATTTGGCTGCTCAGGATAGCAAAAGCGAGAGCGGAGAATCCAGAGGGACCTCCTGCCACTGAGCAGCAAGGTAATAAAACAGCAGAGGAAACAGAGCAGCGCTAAATGATGAAGAGGGAAAAAAACAGCCCCAACTTCAGTGCGCTGGGACCTGAATTAGCTGCTAGCACACCTGTAAGGGACCTGGGCATTATGAGTTGCAAGAAAACATCAGCTAAATGCTCAGAACAGTTGTCGAGACAACCATAAAGGCAGCCATCAAACATTGCGAATTTGGAGGCAAAGAGGGGAGAACAAAAGAGACGGTACTAACTCTGCCACCAAATAATCTCCTGCTGCAAGCAAAGAGGCACAGTAAAGCTGGAGAAGGTGCAGGAGAGGCGAGGACAAATGTCTGGTGTCCAGCACAGGACAACTGAAGGGGCCAGGAGGGGCTG